ATATGCAGACTAGTGAGTGAAAGCCGCTGCATTTTCATGGGCTGTGTTTTCTTGGGACTTGCTGTCAAGGAGAGGTTCGCTGGGCATCCTATCATAGATATGTGGACAAATGAACTTATATGAAACTTGTATGTATGTTTGCCAGCCAAATTTGAATCCAATAACAACTGGGGCATAGGCAATCCTTTCTTTGTTGCAAGGCCTCATTTTTTTATGAAATGTTATTTCACAATTTGCTTAGCAGTATGTTGTGTTCCGATGATGTATTATTGTTGCAAGCCTGGTTGACATAGGTAAAGTCAATTCCATGATTCTTTTGTGCATTTCTGCATCGTTATAGAGTCACCGACTTCATCTGTCCTGGATTCCTACAGTCCTTAAGATTATCAAGGCCTGGAGGATTCAGAGTTTGGGACAGCTCTGGTTGGAAGGGTGAACCATATGGCATGCTAAAACTTATGCGCTTGCCAAAGGATTTGTCTGGACAAGGGGTTTTAAGTCGTTACCTTCCCCACCTGTTTGGAACCGATAAGGTAAAAGATTATGGGCTATGTCACCGTCTGAGCATGCAAAGCAAGTGTTTGGTTTGAAATCTTTTAATGTGCGGCGGACCTTTGAGAAACTCAAAGAGGGCGTGTTCGCGAGTTGCGCTGCTGGTAAACAAACACAGCCTCGATGTCTTGCTCGCTGCCGGTTCCATTAATCATTTGAAGTCTTCATCGACCATCTTTTTTTCTTTTCACACACAAATCATATGCTATCAATCGTTTGGTTCTTAAAAACTTCTAGTAGCTACAAAATACCTTCGCTATTATAATATTTCATTCCATATTCTCACCCCATATGGTTTATAAGGTCAGGTGGTGAATACTTGAAATTCTGTGGGGATAGTGTATTTATTTCTTAGTTGTCATACCTGAAGTGTGGATCTGGGTTACTAGGTTATTTGATGATGTTACAAATCGCCCGTTAAATCATCTTTTATTTAAATAACATTTTATTTTTTAAAATAATATATTTTTATGTTTATCCAGTTGGATTTGGATTAGGAAGGTGAAACCCAAATTAAGCTAAATTCTAATTATAGGTTTTTTTTTTCTGTACTAGTGAATTAAGTTTAATATATGTGATTTATTTGAAATAACTAGCTAGCGGAGATGATTGCTGTTATATCCCACATCGAGAGTGAGAAATACAATCACGCAAGCGCAAGTACAAGTAAGGGGAACGAAGGTTGTGGTAAACTTAAAAGGGTTAGTTGGCTAAATATGCCACGCTCACCCTCGTCTGGTGAGTGCCGTATGGCTATCAAGACATATGGCTGACATAATTTGTGGGACAGCACAGGGTTGGCTCGCCTGGCCGACCCTCCTTTTCAGTCAGATGATGAAATATCTTAATAATTCGCTCTGCCACTGGGGATCGCATGCTTTCATTCCTTGTGCCCCATCACTAATAATAGTGTGAGATGATGGAATATCTTAATAATTCGCCCTAGCACTGGGGATTGCATGCTTTTTCATTCCTTGTGCCCCATCACTAATAATAGTGAGATAATGGAATATCTTAATAATTCGCCCTAGCGCTGGGGATTGCATGCTTTCATTCCTTGTGCCCCATCACTAATAATAGTGAAATTGATGCACCGCCATTTATGCCGGACACTGTTCTTTCAATAAAGTAAAATTGAGACAATGGGGGACAAGGCAATTGATGTCTTCGAACTGTCTGATTCAATTGCTCTGCTAACTCGAGCACAAAAATTAGGTGGGATTTATTATATCTATTTAGCAGGGTTAAATCTTTCCATGAACATCCTTCATCTACCACTGTTATCCTGGAACTGGATGGAACGCCTTTCTTGAGCTAATAATTTATTTCCATGAATGCAAGCATGGCGTTCATCATGCACCATAATCAATCAAAAACGATGTTTTCTACTTTTCTTATCCTTTTCGGGTTGGGGTGTGGCTGAGAGGAGCATACTGAAGTTGAAGTATATGGATCCGATGGATTAAATCATCACTGGCATTCCTTTTCCGGTAGGTTGTGGCAATGCAATAAATGTCATTGGAAAAGATGGACAGCATGGAGAAGCTTTTCTTATTTACTCGCTTCACTTAATTATTCATTCTGCTGACAATAATTAATTTAGAAAATATTATAAATCAAAGATCTAGAAATCACGAATAAGTCAGGAAAGATTTCATGTATATTCATACTCTTAGTTTTCCATCCGTAAATAGGATTCTATACATGTATATATAAACCTTCTATGCAATAAGAAAAGAGGAGAATTATTTTTATACATACACTTCTCATTGTTATACACTTCTTATTGTTGACATTGTATCAAAATAACCTATCCAAATTTAATTTTTTTTTCTCAAATCACAAACCCCAAAACATAACAAAAGCTATGTCTAGATTACAACCATAGACTCAAGAACTGGCCCTCAAATCAACACAATCTTTTTTTCAGGATATTCTCATGAAGAATATTTTTTTGTTGTGGTACTAAAAGAAGGAGATTATATTATATAAATGATTTGGACCTTGGTAAAGTTTATTTTACTTAATTATTACAGTGGAAAGGACAAGACATCTAGTTATGGCATTATCGGTTAGGGCATCCATCATTCAGCTATTTATAACATTTATTTTTCTTTTTATTTGAAAATACATTGCTTTCTAATTTTAAATTAAAGGATTGTATCCTAGGTAAAAGTCATTAAACAAATTACTCCATCAGTCATAATAAATATAATGCACTATTTGAGATTATTTATTCTGATTTATGGAGTACTGTACTTATTACGACTACTACTAGCTTTAAATAGTTCTCCTGACTCTCCTATATTATCCGATGCTATACAATACAATTTACCTCACATGCATAATCGAGGAATACCTATAAATCAGTATTCACCAGAAATAGAAGAATAAAAGTTCAAATACTCCATTATGAATTTTATCTCAACTCATAACATGTCAAATACAACAAATATCTTTACGGGAAAAGTATCTTCAGAACAACTTCCACGAAACATTGAAAAGGCCATGCTAGATGAACCATGAAAATTGGCTGTTTATGATGAAATAAAGGCTCTCCAGGATAATAATACTTGGGAACTAACTATATTGCCAGATAAAAAAAAAATTAGATGTAAATAGGTGTTTATTATAAAATATAAAGCAAATGGGACAATAGAACGATACAAAACGAAATTGGTGACTAAGGGATACACACAGACATATGACATAGATTGTCATAAAACTTTCTCACCAGTAGCTAAACTAAACACAATTTGGATATTTTTATCGCTTGTAACAAACCTAGATTTGCCTTTACATCAATTTGATGTAAAGTATACATTTCTTCAAGGAGATCTACAAGAGGAATTATACATGGATGTTACCCTTTGTTTTACTGGAAGAGTATAAAATATGGTGTGTAGACTTACACAATTACTCTATGAACTAAAATAGTCTCCCAGGGCATGGTTTGGAAGATTTAGTTTAGTAATGTGAAAGCATGAATTCAGCCAAAGCAACTCGGACCATGCATTATTTCTAAAAAGAAATGGGGGGAAAATAATGGCTTTAATCATTTATGTTGATGATATGATAGTCATAGGTAATGATGAAGATAGAATTTCATAATTATAAAAATATCTAGCAAGTGAATTTGAGATGAAGGATTTGGGTGGGTTGAAGTATGTTTTGGGCATTGAAGTATACATATCAAAATTAAGCATATTTCTATCACAAAGGAAATATGTATTGGACTTATTAGCTGAGACATATATGTTGGATTGCAATTCTATGATATATCAATCGTACAAAATCATTGTTTAGCTGAATATCCGGATCAGATTTCTACAAATAAAGAACAATATACAAAATTGGTGGGAAGATTCATTTACTTATCACATACACATCCTGATATTGCATATGTAGTCAATTTATGCACAGCCCAAGCGAGATACATATGGAGACAACATTGCGAGTGTTTAGATACTTAAAATCTTCTCTGGGAAGAGGAATTCTTTTCAAGAAGAATAATCACCTTAATCTCATTGGCTATATTGATGTAAACTGGGCTAATAATTTAACTAATAGAAAGTTTACTTTAGAATATTTTATCTTTGTTGAAGGAAACTTGATAACTTGAAAAAGTAAAAAGAAAAGGTTAGTTGCTCTATCTAATGTTTAAGTAGAATTTAGGGGGGTGACCAAAGAATTATATGAGGTACTATGCATAAAAAGATTATTTAAGGAGTTGAGATATCCTATGAATATCGAAATCAAGATATATTGTGACAACAAAGTTACAATTGCTATAATCAATAATCCAGTTCAGCATGACTGAACTAAGTATGTCGAAATAGATAAACACTTCATCAAGCAGAAACTTGATGAAAAAACTATTTTTTTTTTGTCAAATACGAGGATCAACTGACATATATATTTATTAAAGTAATATTGAGTAAAGTGTTTCATTGTTTTTTTAACAAGTTGGGCATACGAGATATTTTCTTATCAACTTGAGGGAGAGTGTTGAGAAAAATTAATTTAGCAATATTACAACTAAAAAAACTAGAAATCAGGAATAAGTTTAGGAAAGAATGTATATATATTCATATTCTTAGTTTTCCGTCCGTAAATAGGATTCCTGTACATGTACATATAAACCTTCTAAACAATAAAAGAAGACAAGAATTATTCTAATACAGACAATTACTTCTCATTGTCGACACATTGCTCGGTCATGGGGTAGGGAGAGCTGAAGTGTGCTGTCTCTATTGTTAATAAATAGGAAGTCGGCAGGCTGTACATTTTCTTGAAGTTAAATTGCGAGGAATCTTTGCCACTGTGCATGATAGTCCAATAAGAGATTTCTCGTTATTAGACAGAACTGGTGGCATTCACTGCGGGACATGCATAGCTACTTAAGTGAATAGTGAATGCTTAAATCTATCAGCAAGTTGCAATTTACTTGTCAGAAAAACTTTAAATCAAACTATGAAAGCAGGTGTACCATAGCTAATAAATACGTTGTTGGCAATGTGGGAAGCTGTGGAAAGAAATAAAGACTTGCAACTAACAATCACAGCAACACTTTTTGGTTCTGGAATGAGGTGGTGGCTGGATAATAAACACCGGTATTGTTTGCGATGGCGGGGAAGGCAAACAGAGAGTGGAAAGTTTTTCCACTCGTGAAATCGAAGGAAGAAAAGAAGAGGACAATTATTGTAGGCTTAAAGTCAGATAACTATAGCAGAGAAATGCTCCTGCGTTTTCTCCAAAAAGTTGTCAATCCAAGGGAAAATGTGCTTGCTATACATGTTCGAGAACCATCTGATAGTTTCGATCCAAACACCTTCTATATCCAAGAAGATATCTGCAAGGCCAAGCAGGTATGCAATTTTGACATTACAAGAATTTCATAGGATTCTTTGTTTCTATTCTAATCCGTTATTCTATGAAGGTGGATTTCCTAGTTAAGGTTTGCAATGGGGACTCTTACATTTCAGAATTAGGCTATCAAGTACGCGTCAACTATGCAACAGTCCTAGCAGTTGGATGCAGCCTTTCAGGGTATTCAAGCTGACATCCATATATTTCTTTGCGTCTCTCTTCATCTTTCTCACTCCCATGGTTCTTGTATTGCAGAATCAAACAATCAGTCGTCAATGATTGCTTAAAAGAGTTGCCCCCAACTTGCAGCTTTCTGGTGATGGATAAGTCTGGAAAAATCGTACTCCAGAGGCAAGGTACCTCTCAACAAGGCTCGATTTATGCACCCTTTCGACATCCTCTATCGTCTTCATCAGAAAAAAGTTACTTTCATCAACAGAGAGCTGCCTCCCAGTTACGAAAATCATTGACTGTGCCATCTTCCTCAACAGCATCATCAATACAGCAAACAGATATTACAGCTAGGCGCAATATCAGGAAGGCAGTCCAGGTTCCAGACTTTTGGGCAGAAAAGGTGTCTCATGGATTGCTTATCCTGGAAGCTAAGGGACTTGTCAAGCATTTCACATTTCAAGAGCTCAATTTAGCTACTAATAATTTCAGCCCTGAATTGGTGATTGGAGTAGGTGGGCACAGTAAAGTGTATCGAGCCAACCTCGTGGATGGTCAGGCTGTAGCCGTGAAAATCCTGAAAGAAACACGATTTCCAGCAGAGGATCTTCTCCACGAAGTGCGGATTCTATCTGACATAAAACATGAGAACATAATCCAGATAATTGGGTACTGCTACAGTAAGGAGATGCATGCAATTGTATATAATCTACTAATAGGTAGTTTAAAGAAAAATTTGAGACAACTCAAGTGGAATGAGCGGATGGGAGTTGCTGTTGGTGTAGCTAAGGCACTTGAGTACCTTCATCATTCTTTCAACCCTCCAATAATTCATAGAGATGTGAAGTCATCTAACATTCTCCTCTCTGGCACTTGCCAGCCTCAAGTAAGTTCTATCACCATCTAGATTGAATTTGCGTCATAAGAACTTATATGAGAATATATAGTCCCTTGTATGAGAATATATAGTCCCTTGTATGTACGTGTTTCAACATTGACAAAATATGTTTCTTTTGTACTCAGCTTTCAGATTTTGGAGCAGCAATGGTAAACCAACCATCAGAACATATTTCAGAAAGCACAAAGCCAATCAAAATTGTTGGGACTTTTGGATACTTGGCTCCAGAGTACATGATGTATGGGAAAGTGGATGAGAAGGTTGATGTTTACTCATATGGGGTTGTACTCCTGGAACTTATCACCGGGCGGGAGGCTACTCAAACAAACGAGGCAAATCATGAAAGCTTAGTTCTATGGGTAAGAGAAGAAGTCCTTTGAATTTCAATGAATTTGAAGAGAGTAGGTTTCACCTCTAATTTTTTAGGCGTTACTGTCTCGACTTGCAGGCAAGGTCTTTACTGAACTCTGGTCTATGTGAACGTCTCATTGATCCCCGCCTGAATGGAGACTACAAGAGAGAAGAGATGGAAATCATGATTTCTGTAGCACGCCTGTGCCTTGTACACTCATCTTCTAGGAGTCCAACGATGAAAATGGTTAGCTTTCTCATCTCTCTCCATATAAAAATATTGCACAAACCTTCCATGAAAATGTCATCACATGCCTTTCTATAAGAGGAGGCTAAAATCCCTAACAAGGATTGTGATGTTGTTCTGTTTAAGCAGATATTGAGGCTATTTCAGGAGCCAGAACACTGGTTAAATATGCAGAGGGAGAGAGACAAACTCCGCATTGCTATCACGTCCAAAGAAGAAAAGTTCACCTGGAGAATGGACGACTCCACCTCGACTGCCATAAGTACACTGCCCGTGGATGATTCATACATTGAAATATTGCCATCTGAAGCACCGGATTAGCTAGCATCTAATATCTCAGTCACCTCGAAATCATTTCCAAGTTGGTTCTCCTAGTAAAGAGTGCTTCAGCTGACATCAAAGTTCTCAACACAGAGGAAGCATCCAAGCTGCTGTAATATAAATATATGTTTTACAAACTCCTCACCATATTTATCAGATATGTACTTCCACTCAAGGGAAAAGGGAAAGACAACGTCAATGAGCCCAATCCTAGCAGGCTTATAATTGAGCCCATATGTATCTCTTACAGAAATTGAAACCGAGATCCATACTCTCTGAGTTCATCACTATGCATTGACATGGTTCTTGCATACATTTTTGCACTGCAGATGTATACTAACATTCTTTTTGCCTAAATCTATATTTTTAAGGGTAAAAGTGAATTTATCATATAAATTTATTATTTCAAATTATAACCGTCAACATAAAAAAAATATAAAAAATAACCTTGTTATTTTAATAAAAAAATTAATTTTTATTTTCATACGAATAATTTAGATAATTTAGATGTCATTTAGAGATGCAGCCCAAATAATATTTCATAAAATAATAAATTTTTTATTTAAAATTAATTTTTTATATATATTTTTAGAATATTTTGATGTTCTGATATTAAAAATAAATTCAAAAAAATAAATATTATTTTTATATATTTCTGAAAAAACAATCTTAAAAAACAAATTTTACTACAATAACAAACGACACCTTAGTTATTTATTTTAAAAAAAAATCGAGTGTGAAAGATTCCATCACTTTGTATTCATGTTTTACAGGGTGGAAGTGTAGTTATCATTTATCAACTTGTCAAACTCTATCTTAATGTAATTTGGCCTAAAAAACGGTTTTGTCCAAGAAAATTAGAAAAATACTTTGGTCGTTTGTCTAGCAGCTGCAAGGCGGAGAGTTAATGCAGTGTATAGGAGAGTGAATGGCGTGGTTGCCCATGCCAAGAACAGTGCTTTAAAGAAAGGAAGACGAAGAGCCATGGCAGCCACAAGAATAATAAAAAACTCGTTCAATTTATGAGAGTTCAAGTACAAAACGAAGTCCCCAGAAAACACCAAAAAAGGCAACATCCGAAAGGAGTTTGAAGGCAACAGGAGCATGGAGAGAGCAAGAGGAAGACACCATCTTTAGAGGACTAGGAATTGAAAAATGTAGACGATCGATTTGGCGAGTTCAACTCTCTGTGGGTTCATTTCTGGGAAGAGTACTTGTGCAAGTCTATAAACACCTATATATATAATCCATGCAAGTCCTCACTCCTTATCAAAGAAACAACACTGCGTGGCAACTAGAGCAAAAGATAAAAACAAAAATCTGCACAAACGATGGACGTAACGCTATTGAAGAGGAGCAGTCCTCTTGACCTCAACTCCTTATTCATTGTATTGTCCATTACGCGCAAGTCGATTCATGTTGACGATCCAAAAAATATATATGAAACTTGGCACTACTCAAATTGAAAGATTGAATGGTGTGAATAGCCATGAAAAGAAAATGCATTACTTAAAGACCAAAAAGATAATGATGGAAGTGGCAGTGGCCAAGACAACAACGAAGAGTGTTAAGAGTTGAAGGGAAAAATGAATGAAGTCTAGCCGCACCAGGAAATTAAGACCCGGGCCTACACCATTCTGCCTATAAACATGACTATTTAACATCAGCAATAAGAAAATCAAAAGAAAAATACAAAATTATCGTTTGAAAATGATAAAATTATGCCAACTTCTCATCAGCATTTTGCATAAAAATCTAAGCATGTAAGGGTACCTTTATCATTTCATGCATGTCTCTTGAAAATGGCAATATTCCTTGATAAAAATAGCAATGTATTAGGAGAGGTACTGAAATTTATATATATATTTGTCATGTGATAAAGTATAATTAACCTGAACTCGTTTTGTTCTGTCAATAAATATATAATCGTGTGCCCGAACCAAAAGTTATCATTCAGTCTAAGGGATTTAGTTAACTTCATGTAGCGTCCTATGAAGCACTGTATCAGAAAAACCATACCAAAAATTAAAACGACATGATAGGTTGTCTGTGAAATATATGGTTTTGGATATTTTGTTCACGGAATGAAAAATCAGAGAATGAAGATTGCAAGATGAAAACGTTCTCTCCGAGTATAAGAATTGAAAAATCTAGAAGTTCTTGATACTTGGGTAATTAAGATCAGATCTCTTCTTAATACACGTGATTAAAAAACTTCTTCTTTTTTTTTGCCAATAACGAGGCCTAATTGAGTATTTGGAAGTTTGGTGTGATAGCTTTTTTTACTTTTTTTTTTTGAAATCCATATAAAAAAATAATAAAAAACATATAATATTAACTTTTAGCAACACGGTTTTATTTTTATTCTTTTTTTAAGTTTTGACTTGACTGTTTTTGATAAAGCTAATTGAATTATAGATGAACTCCTCGAATTAATTTCTTGAGTTTATCTATGTCAATAAAAAAATTAATTTAAAATGAAACACGTACGATCTATGTTAAGCATGATGCAGTCAGGTTGTCACTCTGCCCAGGGTCCAAGTCTTTTGCCTCCAGTCAGTCATATAATTAGGCTCCAGGCGGCGTTGTTGTTGCCGTGATTAATTTTGCTTATCGCGAGCTCTCCTTGGCTAATTAACTGTTGTAGTATATATTTTGCGCCAAGAACGTAAATTTAACTAGTGAAGGTTTATAATGGTGAACCAGTTTCCGCATGCAATTGTCAAATTTCAATGTTCAAGACAAAACTCGCCACTGCCTCTGACCCATGCTTAAACAAGTATAAGTACTCATCTATAAATACCCAGGTTTTGCATGCAAGTTCCCATTCCTTGACCAACGAACGATACTTTAAAAAAAAAATCCAAGGTAGCGAACTAGCAAAATTGAGCACGATGAAAGTTGTTGGTATGCTAATGGTTTCTGCTCTCTTGGCTCTGGCTTCCTCATTTGCCACTGCCTATGATCCCAGCCCCCTCCAAGACTTCTGTGTAGGAATAAATGATGCTGATTCTGCTGGTAAATCCTTTTTTTCCTCTCTCACTTTTGCCATTTTTCAACTTTTCATCTGAGTTTTAATTAAGATCTCAAATCCCAATCCAACATGAGTGATCTATATATATTTACAGTTTTGGTCGAGTTCTATGCTCGCACGTAAAATTTGTTGCGGCCTTGTGGGGCTCGTATTATCATCTAGGACCATGCAATGTTCCTTTTTCTTTATAAAATCATTATATTTTCGAGTGCGAAGTAATATTAATATTTATCAATAACACTTTGCTTGTGTGTGCAGTGGTTGTTAATGGAAAACTGTGCAAGAATCCAAGCTTTGCCACCGCGGATGATTTCTCGTATTCAGGGCTTAATGTTCCTGGAAACACATCAACTCAACTTAGAGCGCATGTTAATCTCATAACGGCTGATCTAATGCCAGGGCTTAATACTCTCGGTGTATCTTTGGCACGTATAGACTTTGAACCAAATGGTGGCTTAAACCCTCCACATTATCATCCTAGAGCATCGGAGGTTCTTTTGGTTTTAGAAGGCACCCTCTATGCTGGCTTTGTGACATCAAACCCAGATCATCGCCTCTTTTCAAAGATTTTGAAACCAGGAGATCTCTTTGTGTTTCCATTTGGCCTCGTTCACTTTCAAATGAATGTTGGAAAAACCCCCGCAGTTGCCATTGCTGCACTAACAAGCCAAAATCCTGGAGTAAACACGGTAGCAAATGCGATCTTTGGAGCCAATTGGCCTATTAATCCTGAAGTTCTCACCACAGCATTCCACCTGGATAAAAAACTTGTGGAGGATCTTCAGTCTCAAGAATGGGTGAACCCTTCATAGATACTTGGTACTATTTCTCATATTTCCAGTTGTTGATTTGTAATAGTAAGGAAGTGCCTTAAGCCTCTCTTCTTTATAGCACTATTAATCACCATAATTGTGGTGTAATAAGGAAGTTGTATACCTTCTTTTCATGTTGAGTTGTGTACTCCCTAATGTTATGTACTTGTTTGATTAAGCCAATCTCCTTGTTTCTCCCATGGTTAACTTAAAGAATACATCCCATTTTATTGCCCGACACTCCGGGGAAAAAGCTCCTGGTCCAGCTTGGACCTTAGATTGCAAGCCATGCTTATTACATGTTAAATGTAATATATCAGGAAACTCTGGTTTAGTTATCTCAACACAGTTGATTAAGATGCCATCAGCACTATTTTTTAGAGCAAGCATTGAAATGTTGGTTTGTTTTTGCAGGGGTAGAGCTGCTAGCTTAGAAGCAGCACTATATATAAAAGTTTGAATAGATACCTGGAGCAAAGTATAGCTTTTAGGGTTTCTCAAGTCTCTTAAATGGTAGAAGAAACTCTAATATAATTTAGAAATTCAGTACATATAAACTGACCTAGCCCATATAGAGTAAAAAAAAAAAAATTGAAACTAGCTAGAAAAGGTAAGTAAAATTGGAAAATAACATTGAAAATAAAGAAAAATCCAAAAACAATTTTTTCTGCCCTAATTTGGTGGCCTTCCGATCTTCACTGGCGCAAGCAAGTTGACCTTATAAGAGAAATATACTAACAAGATTTTAGCATGATCTATTAAAATTAAGTTATGATTATTTTTGTTATAAACATATCTAGTCTTTTTCTTGAATTTTATTTTGTCTGTTTAATCTATAAAACATATAAACTCTACGTCCATGTCAATAACTTAACCATTTAATTTATTATTTGCTATTTGTTGAGGACAGATGAATCATGAATCAAGTGAAGCCATTACAAGAAATAGATTATGGTTACAGATTTAAGTTCCTAGTGACATAAACTATACTAACATATTGTACGAGCAGCATGTAATATCTAATAGCATCTCCAAGGGAAGGGGAGACACTATTTTAATAAAATATTTTTTTGGAATGGTATAAATATATATAGTTTTTTTTTTTGTTAATGTATACTTTAATAGTAAAAAACCTTTTAGAAAAACCAATTATTTAATATATTTGATATTAATAAATTATTTATTAATTGCAACTAACTACTACACTCCAATGAAAACCTTTTTTCGTATATAAATATATTAAATAAATTTTTAACACTGTTGATGAATACATAGAAATGACTCTCCAACATAAAAATACTATTTTGATGACTCTTCACTATTTCCCAAGCAGTAAAAATAAGAGATAAAAATCATTTTTTCTTTTCTCTTTGGCCTTTTCATTTGGCTATTTCCTTCATGATGCTCTTATAATTACTGTCGTGGAGGGATCTTTAAAAACTAGTTTTGGCTAACCAAGCCTCAGCCAATTGTTTGAAATTAATATTCATGGCGATTCGAGCAGAGATTTGCATTTTTGTAGCAGATGCCTTCACCGTAGGACCTAACTCCACAGCAATCTTTCTTACTCCAAGCTTAAGTAGGTTCTTCAAAAATCAACAGGGCAGAAAAGTTGCTCCAGTATGCTTTCGAACAACATGATAGAATTATGGACCAAACAGGCAGGAAAGACCTTACCCTCGAGTGTTTCTCGTTTTCAAATTCCAAAGCAGACATGAAATCTTGCTCGGGTACACTAGTGTTTGAATGGTAGTAACTAAGAATATCATTGCGATCAATGCTGATGAAGAATAATGGACTCATTGGTATCTACTAGCTGAACCCTTAATAGCATCGAGAAAGTCATAGACAGCACAAAATTGCTCGATCTGCTCTTCTAGTGGGACAACATTTTTAACACCACTCAGGAAAGTTAACTGAAATGAGAAAGAATTCAAAACTGTTATTCTCAAATCTGGATTGCAGGGCACGATATGAGCTAGCAGGATAAAAAGGCATCTACCGTTGTCTGGCCAGTAATGTCAAGAATGCCAGGCCCTCCAGAGGCAAAATTTCCTCCTCTGAATCCAGGTCTTTTTATCAGTTTTGGATTGGCAGCAAGAGCAAATTAAGAAAGTTAGTGGCTTCTTCTGAATCCCATTAGCTTAGTTGACCATGGAAACATCATGAAAAAACTATGTTAAATTAAAGCCTTACTGATCTTCGGAAAAAGATAGATCATTAACACTGACCTGGAAATCAGCACTCAAAATCGATGCTGTTAGGAGGAAAGTGTCCCAACTTCAGCTGTTGAATCTTCCAATGACAAAACAGCCGGAGCCTATGTATTTGCCAAGCCAAGATCAACAATTCCCAGGTATAGGATAAGAAAAGTTTTCTTCTGGCCACAACAAAAACTTTAACTTTCGGAAAGGCATTTTGTTTCGGGACACAACAGATAATGACTTCCATACTTGAAATGATAGAATCAAGGAGCGTAGACGTTGTCGTTAAGAGTTCGAATTAATTTTAAAATGATTTTATTTTTAATATGTTTTTTTAAAAAATTATTGATGTTAACCAGGATGGGTTTGATCCAAATTTACCGGTTAACAAGATTATAAATTAATCTATTAAGTTATTCAAGTTATTCCCGGTAAATGTCCAAACCAAATTGAAAATAAGCTTGTTATTTTTGTCACATGGACAATGCTCCACAAGCGAGAGGAAAATGGGCGATGGGGAGAGGGGGCAAGGCACTCCCAAAACTTTGAAAGTTTACATTTTAGTCCAAAATTCAAAGGTTTTTTTCATTAGATCATTTGAATTAAGGTTTTTTTAATTAGATCATTTGTTTTATTTTCAAATTTATTTGAATTCTTTTTTTTTTCTTTTCCATATCAACACTATTAATCTTGGAACTTCAATTCGGCTCCCACCATTGATATGCAGATTCTCAAATCATAGAACCAGCCCGTCTCCACTAACAAACATAGGGTTTGGAATGTGCAGAATAACTGGCGGAGAAACATGGTCAAATGGCCCGTCGTCGTCGTCGCCACTAGTCAACTCACCATGGCCCTGAGTTGGTTTCTTATATATAGTCCTGCTCCCGGGCAATGTTCAGCCCCTCTCTCGAAGCCATTCTTGCCTGCATGTCGCCAATAGCACTAGGGAAACCTTTCACGCGCGCGCGCACACATATATATATTAGGAACTCACCATGGCACTGAGTTGGTTTCTTGTATATATGGATGCGTTTGTTTTGCACTTATTGAGAGTAAGATATTTGTTAACAGTAAAAACTGTGTTTTATGCTGTGAGTACATAGAAAAAGTTTGAAATATAATTTTTGTGAAGTAATTTCTATATTTTTTTTATTGAATTTTGTAAAATATTATTTGTTTTTGTATTTTAATAATATTTTTAAAAAAATTGATAATTTTTTTTTAAATTAATATTTTTTTTTGTTTTAGATCATTTTAACACATTAATATCAAAAATAATTTTTTAAAAATAAAAATATATTATTTTAATACATTTTTAAATAAAAAACATTTTGAAATGAACCGAACCATAAGATTACAAAACATTTTAAATATATTTTTTCTATATATAAACCTCAATCATAATTTTTATTAAATATATATCTAAATTCAATTAATTATACCTCATTATATTTTTAAAATTTAATTTTTTTAAATTATAATTATAAAAATTATTTTAAAAATAAAGACATTCACTACACACACCATTAGCTTAATTATCATGGAAAGATAACCCCTATCATGTTCACAGCTGGTATTTCATTGGCGTTAATTAAAATTGCTTGAAAACAAAAGGATTTGTTCGGATCAATTAATAAAACTTTATTTAATCTTATACATTGATTTTATTCTAAAAATATTCAAAACATATGGGAGGAAACTAATATTTATATGCATTTTTTTCAAAATAAAATTAAATATTTATTTGAAAGCACGATCACTCACCACTGTGATTTCATTTTCGTTCCTAAACTAAAAACTTTAAAATAATACTTTTGATTTAATAACATTTATACAACCATAGCCACAATCCCATACTGGATATGAATTGTTTTTCTTTTCTATTCTTTTACATTCATATTTCTTTTTGTATTAAAGGGGAGGAAATAAGAACTGAATAAAACGAGGGATTGGCAAGATTGATAGGTTTTGTCTTGTGTTTACCACCATTGGCTATCACCTACCCATAGAATAAACGACCTAGTTTGTAGTCGTATTGATTCTTAACCACACAAAAATAAAAATAAAAAAGGTTTTTCCAATAATTTACATAGACCAAACAAACTCAAGACCGCAATTCCATCGTTCCCCTGCCCACGCCATAATCAAAACCATGCAAATGGATGGGATTTCTTATCCTCTCTCTCTCTCTCTCTCCCCCTGCCTCCATCTCTCCTGCCCAAGAGTTCAGATTACAAAAGAACCCACCAATGAAAATTCAGTCACATCTTTAACCAAAAATACTTAAAAAGGTTAAAAAAGAGAAGAAAAAACGAGGAACAAAATCCTTCACTTTTGCTTCATCAATGGACTCTCTCTTTGTTAACCAAGCTCTTTCACGCCTCAAGCTCTCTCCAAAACTCACAATCCCTTCTTCTTTCTTTTCCTATCAATCTCCTTTACACCTCAAACCAAACCATGGTAGAAAACCCTACAATTCCTTCACACTCTTTGCCATCCAAGACCAACAAGAAACACAAAACCCACTTCAAGAAACCACTCAAAACATCGAAGACGACGAGTCGTATGGAGAAGTCAGCAGGATCATCGGAAGCAGAGCAATTGAAGGTGGTAAAGGCATGGAGTACTTCATAGAGTGGAAAGACGGCCATACGCCCTCGTGGGTCCCATCAGATTTCATAGCTAAAGATGTGGTGGCCGAGTACGAGACGCCCTGGTGGACAGCAGCTAAGAAGGCCGACTCGTCGGCTCTTAGTCAGATTCTATCGGAGAATGAAGGTGAACGACGTGATGTTAATGCCGTGGATAGTGACGGACGCACAGCTTTGCTTTTTGTATCTGGGCTCGGCTCTGAGCCGTGTGTTAAGCTCCTAGCCGAAGCTGGAGCTGAACTGGATCATCGAGACAACAGTGGTGGCCTGACGGCTCTTCACATGGCAGCTGGCTATGTTAAGCCAGGTGTCGTTAAGTTATTGGTTGACCTAGGTGCTGATCCTGAGGTGAAGGATGATAGAGGATTAACTCCCTTGGATCTGGCCAAGGAAATTTTAAGAGTGACCCCAAAAGGGAACCCAGTGCAATTCGGGAGAAGGTTGGGGTTAGAAAGTGTAATAAGAAACTTAGAGGAGGGAATGTTCGAGTACGCTGAGGTACAGGAGATACTGGAGAAGAGAGGGAAAGGGAAGGATTTGGAGTATTTGGTAAAATGGAAGGATGGCAGTGATAATGAGTGGGTGAAAGCAAAGTTTATAGGGGAGGATTTGGTGATGGATTTTGAGGCAGGGTTAGAGTATGCCGTGGCAGAGGGAGTGGTGGGTAAGAGGCTAGGTGATGAAGGGAGTGGTGGGGAAGCGGCTAGGTTATGACGGGAAGGATGAGTATCTTGTGAAATGGACGGATATTGATGAGGCCACGTGGGAGCCTGAAGAGAATGTTGATCTTGATTTGATCAAGGCGTTTGAGGAGGGACAGATCAATGGAGTTGGAAGTGCTGAGGCCCAGTTGAGCAGTGATGGGTTATAAAATTTGTAATTTGTAACTGGTAACTTTGAAATGGAGAATATTGGGTTTGGAAATATTATGCTTTGAAGCTCTTTCAATTGTAAGTCTTAAGAACTGATCATTGAGAACATATGCTTTTGTTTCTTAAATTTTTGGACATGGGTTTCAATCATCAAACTTTTATTCCTTGCTTTCAAATTAGATGTTCTAGAACTGAGTTGGCTTTCGAGTTTGACCCGATGATCAGGGCATGGTGGGATCAACAAAAATAATTCGAGTTTTTTTTATGAGCTGACCACATGATGTGGAGCTTTTATTTGGAACCGGTTTGGAACGGTTTAGCCGGTCCATAGCTATATTTTAAAAAGATGTTATATTTTAAATAAAAAATTTATAATTTTAAATTAATTTTATGTATTTTTTATTGTTTTAAAGTTTCTATATAAAAAATAAAGTTATTTAAATATATTAAAAGAAAAAACACGTCGCACTCCTCATCAGAAACTAAATAATTACTGCACGCTTCAAAAACTTCGACCACCGGTGAAAAAAATTAACTGATGGTTAAAAACAATCTTTGGTTTCGAAACATCGGTGAACGTGATGAACCCAAAATCTCATGCATGCCTGAACATAAACATTAAAATCAACCCCTATCACGAACAAAAACATCATCATTTGTACATTAATTCCATCTTTTACTGAAAAATATTGTTACTAGTGAGAAAATTAATTGAATTGTTCAAAATATCTGTAAAATCCAATCCAAAATTAAGCGATCAAGTAGTTTTTTGAACTTATTGAGAAATTTTAGCTATAATTTTTTTTAAAAAAATACAAAAAATAGTTTATGAGAAATTATTTTTAAAAAAAATTTATATTTATTTGTCATTAGAAAAATTAATCAACGAAAAATATTTTTTAATCAACGAAAAATACTTTCCAATCAAAGAAAAATTTGACTTGATTTTTAAAAAAGTGTTTTCCCGAAAAATTTGGACGAAAACACTTTCCAGAAGTTGTAAAAAATTTAGAAATGTCATTATTTGCTGATTATATCAAATTTGATCCCCAAACTTTTAATTGTTATATATATTTTGTTTTAAATATTTTTTTTCAATTTCATTTCTTAAAATTTAATTTTTATATTAATTTTGGTCCTCATTTTTATAATTGTTATTTGCTTTTCTCTTATTGTTTTTTATTGAAATTTTTTATTTATTAAATTTAGTCTTCATTCTTTTGATTGTTACTTATTTTATTTGAAATACTTTATGAAATGTTAATTATTATTATTTTAATTTCTTCATTTTTTTTTTAGATTTGATCTTTATTATTTTGATTATTATTTATTTTATTTGAGATAATTTATGAA